AACTTCGGTGCTTCATTAATCCTTTGTAATGTTGGCCTAAGACTTAGACCAAGCTTCCATCCTTTTCCCAACATATGTTTAACTATTATTCCAGTAGTCTTTGATAAGTGAGGGATAGGTATGTCTGATCTTTCTCCTACATAAATGGTATTGACAACTTCAAAAACATAAAAAGAGCATTCCAGGGCTTCTTCTGTAGCTCTTACATAAGGGTTGTCAAAGTCTTGGTTACCAACATGTGTTTCTTTCTTTCAACACATACTTACTTTCCATCAACCATAAACTTTACCTTTAATGCACAGATGACGATAAAGTCCTAATTGTGTGGATTCGTGATCTTTTCAGTAAACAACTGTATGATGATGAAATGTCCATAACTTGAAATTTCACATTGGAGGTACAAGAACCCATTTGTAATAGAATCTTTATGTCTTCAATTAGCTCTCTTTTTAACCCATTAAAGGCTCTAACCACCATGCGACTATTCTTTATGCATGAAAGATCGACCAATATCTTTGTTAAAATAGCCATTGGCATAATATTAATAGAGGATTCATTGTCATTTACAATTATGTTTAGCTACAATATAGTTTCACCCCTTCTCTATATCATATATGCCAAAAGCACCATAGCCAGTAAATTTAAATCATACAAAAAATGTAGAATTATTAAATTGGCTAAATGCTCAATTTTGGTTCTAAGTTTTAGGTCAATTCTCAATTAAAGACATAATGTTTAATTTAATTCAAATCAATACTAAATGTTTTCAAATTTGCTTAAATAATGATTTTTTTACGAAAATTATATAGATGTGCGTTAATTAGCATGATTTGTTAAAATAAACTTATGATATGTTATTGTTTTGTACATATGATATGCGAGGTGATAATTTAATAAAATTAGGATGTTTAAAAAATTAAATCCCTAAAATTAAAGACTTAAACCCTAATTTAGAACAACCTAAACAAATTAAACAAATAGTTTTTGGAAAAATTGATATCTATAATTTCATGTGTTCCAAATAAAAACCCAAAAAATAATAAATTCAATCAAACTAAAAACCCAAATCAAATTCAACAACAAACTAAAAACTCAAATCAACAATAAATTTGAAGGAAAAATAGAAACCCAAAAGCAAGAATTACCAAAGAAAAGAAAAAACCCACTTAATTCAAAACATAAAGTAAATTAAATCAAAATTAAAGCTATTAAAAAAAACCCAAAAACAAATACTAACGGTATTTTTGGATTGAGGGGAAACAAAGGAAAGGAAAGTAAAAGAATGTAAAGGAAACAAAACTCACATTCTCTTGTTTGGATAAATTTTTAATTTAAAGAAAGGGAAGGAGGAGGAAACCAAATAACCTTTGGTTTTCCTTGTAAACTTAATTTTTTTAATACCCCAATTTGGAAGAAAAGCTAGGGAAAGGAAAGTTGAATTTTTTTTTTTTTATAAAAAGACTACTATGTTCATCTTTTTATTAATACTAAAAACCTAATAAAAAAACCTAAGCAGATCACAATTATTCTATAATTTTTTCAAAGCCATTTTTTTTTTCAAGTAAGTTTCACATATTTTTCCAATATAAAAGTTTTTATAATTTTTTGGTGATTTGATTTTGATGAATGGTTGAATATGAATAGATATATTTTTTTTGAGTTTATGAGATGACACACTAACTCAAAATCTATTAATGCATGTTTGTAAAATATCTTTCTGTTTTACTTGATTAAAAATTATTTATATAGCAGCAATTGTGAGGTCAGATAAGGTAGTAAGCATATCATAGTTTAAGAGTGTTCTAAAATCACAGATAATGAAATGTTATAATTGAAAAAAATTATTATAATGAATCATTTTCTTTCTTTTTCACTATTTATCCAAATAATGATTGTTAGAATTTCTTTCATTTCCTTTATTAATTTTAATTATTCAAACAAAGGTTACATATATCTTTTCATTTTCTTTAAAAAACTTTCTTTTTCATTCTTTTCCATTTTTTTCCTTTTTTTTCTTTATTAATATTTAACAAAACATAGCGTAACATCATATTGGAATTTATGATTCTAAATTTAATAATATAATAAAAAGTGATAAAAAATGAACAAATCAATATGAGATAAAAAAGAGAATGAACGATCGACAAGAAGTGAATAGTAACAAGATAGCAAGAAAAGGAAGGAAAGGAGGTAGTAGGTGAGATAAATGAAGGAGTAGATAGACAAGAGGAAAATTGAAAAATAAAGAAAAGAAAAAAAGTGAAAATTTTTAGGTTAGAGATAAGAGAAGGGTAGAGATTAGCAACTTACAAAAAAGAAAGAAAAAGAGAGGCAACAAAAGAGATGATGACCAAACTTAAAAGTAGTTGCGACAAAATTTGAAGGAAAAAAGAAATCGATCTCGAAGATTAGAAAGGAAATAAATAAAAAAAAGGTATTTTTTATATTTTAAGATCTTATATTTTTATTTTCTTTTAATAACGAGAAAGAAGTGCCACCCATCTTGTTATCTAAATAAAAAATTATATTTAACGGTACAAATATTTTACTCTATTAAAATGTCCTTATTTGAACCAACTAAAAAAAGTTTAGTCTTTATTTAAATCAAATTAAATATTACATCCTTAATTGAAAATTGATCAAAACCTTAGATCCTAAATTGAACATTTAATCTATAAAATTTAACTCTTATCTCATAAAAATAGTAGATAAAATTAAATATAAGATTAATAAGCATTTCCTATTAGTTTAACTTAAAATTTCATGAATTTAATCTAACACGTTCAGATCTAACTAAGGTCTAAATTTATGATTTTATTTAGAGTGGTGAATTAAATTTATAGTGAATTAATTATCTTCTCATCTTTAAAGATATAGTTTTTTTCATCCTACTTTTTAATTTAGTTCAAAATACTCAAAAATTAAAATATTTCTAAGTCTTTTTATTTATTCAGTAAATATCTTTTGCAGTTAATTTTTAACTAGAAGAGTTCATGGGCATGATTGGGTTGAGCCAAGCCCGTATAACACTTCTAAAGCTCAAGTTTGAGCTCAATCTGCCATTTAAGGTTAGAATTATTATTGAAATATTAAAATTTTTATACTTTTAAAGATATTTTTAACTAAATTTTAATTAAAAATGTATTTTTATTAATATAAAATTTTTTCTATTGAACTTCAGTGTAAAACATCATGTTCAAAGTCTGAGCTGAGTGGAAACAATCCTGCAGGCTTTTAAGAAAACTAATTTTGTTTTTCTTTTTTTTTTTGAATAAATAATATTTCATTCATCAAAAGAATTAGTAAGGAAAACTTGCTACCAGTCAACTATTCACAAAATGAACTTAAGCAACTATCTATACAATCCCCAAAATTTTACTTATAGTGTCTTTTACAAATTTGAAATGTTGAAATTTTACGTCAAAACTAATGCCCTATAGAGAATTGTTACAGAGTTGGAGAACAGATGCCAAGATTTTAGTAAATTTCTCACACAACATCAACTAGCATGTTAATAAAAAAATTTATAATTATCAAAGATTAAATTAAAAGTATTAACCTTCAGCACCCTATTCCAGAAGGTGACCCCCTGTAAATGTATTAACACAAAAGGAATAAAAAGAAAGAAAGACAAAAATGACGATTGACTTCATTCTTCATAAGGAACATTGAGATCAAAATCTAACTTGTTCTTAGAACCAGTCTGCTGATTACCTTCACTTTCCTTCTTGTCATGAATTGCAGCATAAATCATTCCATGGTTGACTCTATGTCCCCCCACTTCTTCTTCTTCTTCTGACAAATCCTTTTCCGAAATCTCTTCACCTTTTGGTAATATTGAAGCAGCCTTTTCGGTCTTCAACTCCTTCCAGGGAAACCTAGTTTGGTTCTCGTCTTGTGAATCTTGAAGCTTCCTTTTCTTTCCTGCAACCTGATTAATGCCAAGATTCTCTTTAATAGTAGCTTTCCGGCCTCTCTTTCCAGTCACTAACCAGTTGGATATGTAACTTAGCAAATCTTTAGCAGGCTCCTGTTGCTTCTTCTGAGTCACGATGGGGAAACCTTCAACTACTCGCTTCTTGTGAATCGGAATGTGACCACCCAAGGCCTGGAAAGAGCTGAATTCTTGGCGGCAATATGGACAGCTTCGACCTTGGCGATGAGAACCACTGGTTATTTTAATAGGTTATTTTAATAGGCTAACACAATTGGTTGACTTGAAAAGAATTTAAAATTTCGCTCGTAAGATTTAACTTTGATTTTCATTACTAGCAATTTTTTTTTGAGCTATCTATAAATTAATGTAAATTTTTTTTTGAAACTTAGGATATGTTCTAATATTAGAATGAAAAATTTTTTCTTATCCTAAACTTTTATGTAAAAAAAAATTTTTTTTGAACAGTTTTGCACTGGCAATGTTGAGTCTGCACTCTGCTTCAAGGATCCATCTTTTGCAGTAGATTCTTTTAATTCATAATCTATGAATTTGTAAATTTTAATTCTTTCAATACAGTGATAAACTTAATAATTAATTAAAAGTTTAAAAGATACAAATATCATAATTGTAATATTTAATTTATTTACATATATATTCAAATCAGCCAAAGTCAAATCTTCTCACATTCAAGTTTAAAAGAATTGGAGCTTACATTTTTTTTAAAACCAATCCAAAATTTTTTTCACATACAATTAACAAAAACTAGCATGTAGTACTAGTTATTTAATAACTACAACAAATTCTTATGAAAAGGATAAAATTTATATTTAATATATTATCAGTAAATAAATATTATATATTTTGAATAAATCAAATAATTTAAAAATTAATTTTAAATATATTTTAAGAATTAAATATATTTATTTTTAAGATTTTAAAATTAATTTTTTAAAAAATATGATTGTATAATTAAATTTATAAAATTTATACGCAAATTATATATCTAAATATAAATGCAGATTATATATCTAAGTATGAACTTAATTAATAATAATAACATCTTTTACCTTCTTACAAACGAAAAGAAAAAACAAACCTACAATTCAATTTTTTTTTTATTTTGCTAATTTTTTCTTGGCATACACTAACTCTAGACTTTTCCCTAGTTTTCTCCACAACAAAACCAAACTTTATTTGACAACCTTAGATATCATAAAATAAAATAATGAAAAATAAAATGAGTTGCTCTCGTTTTAATTAGGGTTTCGCTTTCACTTAACGAACTGCTTCTTTATATCTTCCTCTCTCTCGACAGTCAATCTTGAATACTCGTGATTTTTTTCTTCTAATTTCCAGGTAATGTACTTTCCTCTTGATTAATCTACCCTGAGCTGTCCCCAATAATTCGCTGACCTCAAAACTGTTAAAATTTTTTTCCCATTTTCCTAGAAAATGCTTAATCCTCTGTTTGCTTATGTTTTCTTCTTAGCTGCAACTCCATTCTTTTAGGTTAAAATTTAAAATTTCTTTCTCGGGATGTGAAATTTTGAATATCTTAGAAAAAAAGATAGAACTTTGAATTTTTTTAAAGTTGTATTAGCTTTTTTAACTTTTATGAGGAGGTTAGTTGTTTATTTATTTTTTTTAAACTCTTGATTATACTTTTAGATTTTTTATTTTTCTAGTGTGTTTTAGGCATTGCCATTTTCCTTTTCTTCTGATACTTTTGTTATGGATGTTAGTTTCTGAATAGGATGCTCTTATTTCAGGAGATCAAAGAATGGTCGTTTTGCTAATGTGTGGTTTGTTTAATGTTGTTGTGGGTAGTGCAGAGGTTTGTTAAAAGTAGATAAGCTTTTCACTAACATTTTACCGAGTTAATCAAGACGATAAAAAAGGTTATGCCCGGCATGGAAAATGAAAGTTCTAATGTCTCACAAGCTGAAGAAATCAAAATCCAAGCTAATGAAGCATTTAAAGGTACCAACTTGATGATATGTGAATCTCAGTATTGCAGCTTTTTAATTGTTTATTGAATATTGATTGAGTTCAAGTGTTTGATTCTGCATAGAGAATATGTAGATAGTTTAATGTATGCATATTGATGTTTGCAATTTCGTTATGTTTAGTTGTGCTAATGTTGTCGGTTTGGTTTTATCCAGCTCACAAATATGGTCACGCTATTGACTTGTACACACAAGCAATAGCGCTAAATAGTCAGAATGCAGTATACTGGGCCAATCGTGCATTTGCTCACACCAAATTGGAAGAGTATGGTAGTGCCATACAGGATGCTACTAAGGCAATTGAAGTGGATCCTAAATATTCAAAGGCATGCTTTTATCTAGTGAAGCAATTCAGCCTCTTCTGCGGTATCTAGTTTTGTTTTGTTCTAATGCCTCTCTAAGTTACAGGGTTATTACAGACGAGGCGCTGCTTATCTTGCCATGGGGAAGTTTAAGGAAGCACTAAAGGATTTTCAACAGGTATTTTGTGTTTAAGGGTTGTAATATTGCAAAATATGTTTGTTTCATATCTCTGTTTAACATCTTGCATACAGAGGTTGCCATTATGTGAATCATATTGCTCAAGAATTTTGTTTGCATGCTTATTTATTCATTGATGAGTGTAGAGATTTTTCCCCCTTTTAATAAATTTTATCATTTTCCTAGAAATTATCTTAGTTTTTTGACTCTCTAGGGCTTATTATGGAATGTTTGCTCCATTTATGACAGAGCTTAACAAGTTGTTCCCCCTTCTACTATTAGATATTGTATGGGGTGGTCTGATGTGATGTCTGTGCTAGCTAGATTTGAGATAACTTCATCCGAGTCAATATGATATTCTCCATTTTATGAGCTGTATATATCTGCAAATATGCATGCATTTGCTTATGAGTGGGAAATAGTTTATGGGCTTTGTTGTTGTTGTTGTTGTTATTTTACCTTAGATCATTGTGAAATGCCATGTTCCTTTGCAATTAAGAGGCTGGTGGCAGAGGGATTCTTTTGTCTATGTCAGGCTATCTAAAATTGGTCTAGTGAAATTTATGCCTAGAGAAGTCACATATGGCTTATTGTCTGATCTGATTTAAAAGTCAATAGTTTAAGGACCTAAAGGAGGGTTCTTGAAAGTGAAAATGCCTAGTTACAAAGTTTCAATTCAGAAGTAACTTTATTGCACATGCTTATTTTGCAACCATTGTTGATCCCTTTTTTTTTTCTCTCTCCAGGGGAATTCGTATAATTGATATATATTAACATGTGACATGTGTTTTGTGATGTCTGAAAAGTGTTTTTCTACCTTTGGACTCAGGTCAAAAAGATTTCTCCCAATGATCCTGATGCTTCCAAGAAATTAAAGGAATGTGAGAAAGCCGTAATGAAATTAAAATTTGAAGAAGCAATTTCTGTACCTGAGTTTGAGAGGCGTTCTGTAGCTGACTCTATTGACTACCACACCATAGGTATTTTCTTTTTCCCAATTTTCTACCGTTTATTCCCAAATTTATGTATTCTAAGATGTCTTCTGGAAATGGTCTTCCATATTGATATGACATTCATTAGGATTGCTGTTTCTTGTTTGCATATATGGGTAGTAGAAACTTTTAAAAACAAGGATGGGCAAATATCTATAGCATGTTGTTAAAATTGTGCAGAAGGTATTTAGTATGATTCACATTCGTTCTAGGAAACTATGAACCTCGTTTGGTTGAAAGGAATACTCAAGTGTTATTTGGAGTATTATTGAATCTTTGTGTTTTATCTGTTGGTATAATTTGTGAGATAATTTGTAGTGAAACTCTTTTTTTCCTTGTTCATCTGGTGTGGGTTTTTCCTGCAAAGTTTCAATGCCTTCTAATGTTATGATTTTACCTTTTTATCTTCTTCTTGCAACTTCATATTTCCTATCAGGAATCTAGAAGCATTCTTTTCGAATAGAACCAATGAATTGTGTAACAGTTGATGCACTTCAATATTGTTCAACATATAGTTTGGTAGCTTTTGATCAAATACTATTATGCCTTTCAGTCTGGAATCTGGATGTCATCATCTTGACAGTTGAGTCATTGGGTTTATTGCATATGATATGTGTTTTATATATTTTACGGGGGAAATGAGATATTAAAAGGTAATTGTACTGCAAAAGCTGCTAATTCATATAATTTTCATTGGTAACTTTATTATTTGTGTTTATCTATAAGTGAAGTGGTTTCTGAAAATTAGATAATGCCTTGGCCTATGAAGGCTGGATTTTTTTTTTTTTTTTTGAATTGTGGTATTTTGGTCATATTAATAGAATATAGCCTTGGCTGAACCTACTTGCAATTTATGTTCATTATACTTTGTAGGTATTATAGTTTTCCTGATTGACCACTTTAGGTGTTTGATCTATAGTTTGGTAATGTTAAGGTAAGGATATTGGTTATGGGAGAGTTATTTTGTGATGATATTTCTTTTTTGGAAGTTATACATAATTATTTTTTCTCTAAATGACAAGAAATGAAATTTGTGTATGGAGGAACATGCTCATACGCTTGTTATTATTGAACCTAATTTTTCAAGGATTTCTCTTATTCTTAAGTTTCTGATGAACCATAGAGTACTTGGGTCTTGAAATATTTTATTTTGATTCCTCCTTGGGGAGGGGGAGTTGGACTTTTTGGTGATTAGCTTTCTTTTGGCCACAACCTTTTTGGTGATTAGTTAATTTGTTGTACCTTTAGGTTTCTGACCAAGTTTTATGTTAATTTTACTGAAGTGGTTTAATAAGCTAGTGGGCTGTTTTGGCTTCACTAGTGACTGGTTCTGCAAGACAGTTATATTATCAAAAGGGAATTTTATATGTTTAGAAACTCATCAGCCATCATGCTGATTGGCAAGCAGTCAAGGTTTAGCATCATAATATATTTAAATGAGTAATTTGAATCTAAATTATGAATAAAATAGTGAGGTGAGATCAATGTGGTATTGAGTTTGATTGCTTCCATGGATGATTAAAAAGCTTAAAATAGTATCTATATTATTATGAGAAAAAGAACTAAATTGACACAATGGCTAATGCTGTTCCGTGTATTTTTCTAGTTTAAGCTTTAGAACTTAGCACTCCTATTTTCATGAGGATTTGTACTCTGTTGTTATAATACCACTTCTTAGTCTTAAGGTAACCAGCTTTGTGTTTCTGTGTTACTAAGTAGGTATGCTGGAGCTTCCACTAATTTCTCTAATAAGTTTGGCTATGGGCTTTTGCTAGGTCTAAGGTTATAAATAGGGTTTTGAGATGTTTTACCATCAGCTTGATCTGCTTTAATACTAGGATTAAATTTACAATGGATTCCTTTTATCAACTAGTATAAAATTTATGGCTAATCAACATTTATATTATTTTAACATATTGTATCATAATAGGGACGAGTCCCAGTTCACCATCCATGCCCACCCGAGTGGGCTTAGCAGCAGTTGCAGTAGCATTTCTGGCAGCACTAGTGATGATGTTGGGGGCAGCAGCAGCCACAAAGGTGGCAGCACTAGTTGTGGTGGTTCTAGGGACATGGTGGTGGGGTGGATCCACTGGTAGTGGTGTCTTTACTGAGAGTTAAATGCTTGACTTAGGTTTGACAGTTTAAGCTCAAAGTAAACTGTTGAAGTACTGCTACAAGTCAATCTCACATGTTTCAATAACCTGTCAGGAAATCTTTTCTTCTGGAAAAGTAGTTAATTGCACTTTAAAGTTCAAATTGGTGAATTCACTAAAAAAACTGATGCATTTTATCTTGGCAGTTTAGTAGGAAATTTCCTTCTCTCATCCCTCTTTTATTTGTTAAAAAAAAAATTTCTTTTTCATTTCATCCTTAGAAGAATTGTGTTAGGAAATGCTACCAACCATCATGTATTTTTGTAAGGCAGAAGGGAGAAAATTAAAAAATGTTTCATGATTCCTTATTAACTCCCTGATGTAATTATAGAAACTGGGGAAAATTGGGAGCACTTTTCCTCCCTGTGAAAGGGTACTTAATGCTAACATTCTGGCTGGATGAGAGTGGATAGTTGCTTTTATTGCATCTATATTATTTATTTACAGAATAAAATTTGTGCTGATGTATTTTGCAGCCATGCTAGTGTTTGGTTGAGGCAAGAAGTTGTTACTCTGATTTGCTTAAAGACTAAGTTCAATACCAGGCTTAGATGTTTTTGAGTTTAGTTTAGTTCCTCATCTCGCCCATGTTTTTCTCTGAGCCAGTGTTTGCATGATGCACTGGTTGGTTGTATTCTGCCTGTCGTGAAAAAACCCTTAAACCGTAACGAACATGGGATTTGATCCCTAATTTTTGGTGCATCTAGAAAGGACATTGTCCGCTAGTTCATTTCTATATTTGTTCCTGACTATGCATTGCGTGGGTTTATGATGTAATAGGTAATGATTATTGATCTTGATAGAATTTGTAAATGAATATAACATTTAAAACAATTGAAAAGCTTTTGAAACAAGGACATGTGGAGTTATCAACAGATCAATTTTAGTACTTGAGGATGTATAACTAGGGCAGTACATGAGAGAGAGAGAGAGAGAGAGAGAGAGAGAGCACTTGCTTGTTCTGTTTACTTTTTACAGACTGTGCATTGCATGAGTTTGTGTTGAAAGAATTTGTGGAATTGAATGTAGCAATTCATTCTGGCATTAGAAAGAGGCTAATGTATGATTGTCATTTACTTTCTAATATGTAAGCTGCATATAAACATTTTACTTAAACTGATTAGCTTTCACATAAATGCACATAAAACATTCTGCAAAATGTTGAAAGTAAATTGTTTATTTATTTTGGAGCCACTGAATGTTTTAGCTGCTTTCTTGAATTCTTGAAAGTATCTTAACAATAATTTTGTCCCCTGTACATTAATGAAATGGCTATTTTGTTTCCATTGTAGAGGTGGAGCCGCAATATTCTGGTGCAAAAATAGAGGGAGATGTTGTTACTTTGGATTTTGTTAAGAAAATGATGGATGACTTCAAGAATCAAAAGTGTTTGCATAAAAGGTATGTTTAGCAAGTGCAGTTATGGATTTTGTTCTTGCTATATTGCAAATTTTTTTTTTTTGGTTGAATAATGTTATTGGTACAGATATGCATTTCAGATTGTCTTACAAATAAGAGAAATGTTGCGGGCTTTGCCCTCTCTTGTTGATATTAATGTTCGTGATGGTAGTCATTTCACTGTCTGTGGTGATGTACACGGTCAGGTAATTTCGCACCTTGATAATCCTTATGTTGAAGCTGTATCTCTGACAACTGAACATGATATGTTTTTACCAAATAAGGTCAATTGAGGGAGGATAAAGTGGTGTTACCTGTTAATCAAACATAAATGCATGCACTTGAATGACCTGGTGATGTTAGAACATCACTATCCAGTACGTTGGATGCAAACAGCATGGTTGCTTCCTTGAGCTACCTATCAGTTACAGCTATGTCTATCAGTTACAGCTATGTTAATTTAGCTAACAGTGAGGAGTAATTAGTATGCATCATTTGATTGCTTATATTTTCACTTTCTTTTAGTGGTGTTTGTTTATTAATGTGTTTTTTTTTTTTCCCCATATTTCTTGTAGTTCTATGATTTGATGAATATTTTTGAGCTTAATGGTCTCCCATCAGAAGAGAATCCATATCTCTTTAATGGTGACTTCGTGGATAGAGGATCTTTCTCCGTGGAGGTCATCCTCACACTGTTTGCATTTAAGTGCATGTGTCCATCAGGTGAACCCTACTTCTGACGTTCTCTGCCTTGCGTTTCCTCCCTGGCCTTTACATGTATCGCAATAGTTCTTTGTTTCCTGATTGTTCCTCCCCCTTTCCTCTTTGGTTGACATTTTCAATCTTGTTAATTTCAGATAATTCAGATGCATCTTTTCCAAGTTTCATTTATTATTTTTTTTATAATCTTATTTGCTTTCACCAAGTTGTTACTGGAATATCAAGGAGCTTTATCTGAGCAGTTCTTTTTGGACATCTCTATCTAAACTTATCTTCAAGATTGTACACTTCTATATTGATCTTCTTGATTGGACACTCTCAAAATTGATAATTTTGATTGGAAGCTCTCTAAATTGATCTTCAGGACTTGATGTTCCCTATTAGTATGATACATATGCAACGTCAGTTTCACTTTTGTTGCATCTAACTTACTATGGAATTTTCAGCTATCTATCTTGCTAGAGGGAATCATGAGAGTAAGAGCATGAACAAGATATATGGTTTTGAGGGCGAGGTCAGGTCCAAGCTTAGTGAGACTTTTGTGGAACTCTTTGCAGAAGTATTCTGTTGTTTGCCCTTGGCTCATGTAATAAATCAAAAGGTTTTTGTCGTACATGGAGGCCTTTTTAGTGTTGATGGGGTGAAACTCTCTGACATCAGAGCAATAGATAGGGTTTGTGAGCCGCCTGAGGAAGGTAAACTGCAGCATGATGTCTTTCCTTTTCTTTTCCTTGAGTTTCTGCAATGCTTGGTGCAATTTAATATTAACTAGTGATTTTTCTTCTTTTTAAGTTTGGCAACTAAGTTGTCAATGTGTATTTATTCATCCATTTTTGTTAGTATGGATCTATACAATATATAAATATGGCTTAAGAGGTGTGAAACTTTTTTAAACACATAAATACATTTTCCACTTTTTTTTTTTTAATTTTATTTCTAATAAAATTTAACTATATACTATAGATTTACTTAAATGGTTTTCATGTAGAGTTTTTATCTAATTGAATCTTTCTTTTAGTTATTGACTTTGTTAATATTAATTTATTAGATAGAACTGAAGGTGAGTGAAACTTTTATGTAGGTTAAAATACCTTATTACTTTTATTTTTTATTTCTAATAAAATTTTATAATATGGTTATGATTTTACTTGAATTACCTTGTAATCTACTAAAATCACTTTTTTTAATATGTAATTTATCAATATTAATGTACCATATAAAACTTCATTTATATGAGATCTATAATTAAATTGAAAGTTTGTAAATTTCTTTTTCAAAATGTAGAATTTTATTCATTTTTTAATCAGTGTAGTACTTGATATATAATTTAATTCACATGTAAAATGCATTTAAAAAAAAATAGTCATCTAAATTTGCAAATTGAAACAAATTGAGCAAAAAGGTATTCATGTTAAATAATATGTTTTTTTGACTTTATGTCTCATGGTTTTCTGCTGATTTCACCAGGGTTGATGTGTGAATTGCTTTGGAGTGATCCACAACCTTTCCCTGGACGAGGTCCTAGCAAGAGGGGAGTAGGTCTTTCTTTTGGTGCAGATGTGACAAGAAAATTTTTGCAGGATAACAATCTAGGTATTTATCTGTTAGTTTGTATGCTTTTTTTAAGTGAAAAAAAAAAAGGAATTGATGTTTAATGTCAGTGATCTTACATGCTTAATTGACAGATTTGGTTGTGCGATCTCATGAAGTAAAAGATGAAGGTTATGAGATTGAACATGATGGTAAACTTATTACTGTTTTCTCTGCACCAAATTATTGTGATCAGGTAATTGAATCTTAAATTCCTTTGTAAATAGGATTGTCCATTAATGGAAAATTTATCCTCAAAGCTTTCTGTAATCATCTAATATGGATTTTTCTATGCACAAAAAGGTGCTTGAGTTTGTTTGTGATCAGGTAATTGAATCTTAAATTCCTTTGTAAATAGGATCTTCCATTAATGGAAAATTTCTCCTCAAAGCTTTTTGTAATAATCTCATATGGATTTTCCATACACAAAAAGGTGCTTGAGTTTGTTATCTTGCAAGCTTCATTTTGGTGAAGCATTCTGCAGTCATAGATTAATTTAACTGCTTATCCTTAGTGAACTAGTTTCAATTGTTAACCATATTAAGTCACGTCATCTTCTTGTAGCTTTTGATCCCTCCTAATCTGAACCAAGTGGTTTTAGATAATCAGAAAGCAAGTGTAGCTTATAACCAATATTAAAAAGCAATTGAGGTTAAAGGTTGAAGTTTATCAGTCTTGGTTTTATTGGTTGGGGATATGTTCGCGTGCATGCTCCTGACTTTCTTCTTTGTAATCTGTTTTAGATTGTCATTTTCAAGTACAATGCGTGTATGTGTGTGTTTCCTCTGGTGCACAAGTTTCTCCAATTTAATCTGCATTTTATGATCATTTTCAAGCACACTGCAATATTAAAAGGATCAATTGAAGTTGCGGACAATGTTTGTGTTCAGGCACATTTTTGTATTCTAACACAAGTCATCAAACTGTTTGAATCGTGTTTTCTTGTTTATATATTACTATGTTGAAATTTTGTTTTGTTCCAGATGGGTAACAAGGGTGCATTTATTCGGTTCGAAGCCCCAGCTTTGAAACCAAATATTGTTACATTCTCAGCAGTGGTTAGTAGTTTGTGTTACTTTTATTGTCAACTGTTTCCATCGTAGAAAAAAGACCAGCACCCCCCCCCCCCCCTTTTTTTTTAAATGAAAGAAGTTTGACTGACTTCTTCTGTGATTTGCAGCCTCACCCTGATGTCAAACCAATGGCATACGCAAACAATTTCCTCCGAATGTTCCAATAGTTTATACCTCTGACTAGTATGTTTTTCTGCAATACGATATCTTTATTGCTCAGTTTGTTCCAGGAGGCAGCTCCAGAAGTGGAAAATGTTGATAAATGCAGTTCAATTTATGGTTTTTTTTTTTCTTTTTTAACTAAAAGGTTGTTCTCTTTCCTCATTTTATTTTAAGAATTTTCAGGCTTGGGGTCTCATTTTGAAAATTTTACTCAATTTAATCAAATCCAAAAGCCAGTTCAAGGTTGGAAAAAAAAAAAAAAAACCCTTCCTGTCTAAGAGCCTGGTAGCATTGTAAAAATAGGTGACCTCTATTTTCTTTTTTATTAATAACATTAGTCCTCAGTTTATACTTTTGAATAAAGTTATGTTTCTTGTTCAGTGTTGAAATCGAGTGCTTAGTTACTTAATACATTCTTTCTTAATAAGTTAGACTAATAAATAATTTGTTATCTGATTTTTTTGAGATTTTTATTTTAATCATCTAATTTTAAAAATTAATATTTTAGCCACTAAAATTTATATATATGTTATTATTCACTCAAAAAAGATAATAGATTTCTCACCTCACCTGATATTGTGTTATATATTGTCAACTGTTATAGCAGATCGCTAATTAATATAGTAACATGAAATCTCTCAGGTACTTTCTTAATGGTCGAGTGATCAAAACAGTATGACAAAGTAAGATTTATTAAGTACGATTTATAAACGTTGGTGATTAAATGTTAATTTTTTTTTAATTTTTGAAATTAGATGATCAAAATATAGCATCTAAAAAAGTTTAATGATTAAAAAATAACTTATTCATATATTTATTTCATTCTCACATAGACATTGTCTTTATATTATACTTTTTTATCTTTTAAATTTTTAAAGATTTTTTGCTTTTTTAATTCTGATTAGTTAACTTTGAAAATTGATAGTTTTGTCGTTAGCGTTTATAAATGTTATTATTTCGGTCACTTAATCATTTAAAGGAAAGGGACTTCTAAACATGGCATTTTAGCGAGTCTTGGCATGTGTCATATTGCCGGTAACCATGTTAACATAGTAATAAAAAGTTATAAATATTCTTAATTTAATTTTTTTACCATCACATGTCAGAGCACCTTGCATGGGTATATCAGTCAAATTAGTTTGTGACATAGAATGTCATTTTAATTAAAGTATTTATGAATTAAATTGAGTCATGTTGATTAAATCAGATTCAATTGATTTTTTAAAATTTTAATTAAGATTCAATTTATTTATTTAAATTTGAATCATATTAAACATCCTTAGAATAATAATAAAATTTTATTTTTTACATTAATATTTTAATTTTTAAAATTAAAATTAAATAAAAATAAGTTTTATTATTAAATTAATATTATGGATCAAATTGATTCATACTAGGGATTGGGCTTGAAATTTTTTTTCCAAAATTTAATTCGAGTCTTATATTTTATCAATTGAAATACCAACAGAATATTTCACTTATAAAATGTTGATGAGTAATGGAAAATCTTGAAAAGTTAATGTTGATATTTTTCTATTACACTGAACTTGGTGTAATTCTCTTAAAAAGTTTCATAGACTTTAATAAATAAATAATAATAATAATAATAATAATAATTGCGAATGCAATTGATCTTATGGCATACAATGACACACGTGAAAGTGACAGCATGCAGATTTTTCTATCCACAAACAAGGTTGATGATAATAGCCAATGCGATTGATCCTTTTGTATACAATGACACGTGTGAAAGTGACAGCATGCAGATTTTTCTTTCCACAATCAAGGGTGATGAATTGAAACGACCTTTTTTTGAAATAAAGGGAATTTCATTAATCAAGGGAAATCACATTCAGACATAATTGTTTCATGATGTCATAAAGGATAATCCTCTATCCATACTCAATCACTCCTCAGTTCAATTGCATCCGTCGCCATTTTGTGGTTTACTTCAGTTTCTTGACGTCTTGTATGTTCCAAACCAAAATAGCTGCATCCCATCCTCATTGTCCTTACCTTGTCCAAGATATTTCCAACCATTGACAGGTCTTATGATTGTATTTTTAGCATGCTTACTATTTCTGCTACATTTCTCTCTAGAACTAGGGCTGTAAAACCCAACTCCCTTGCAAACGTGATCCCTGTAAGAGCTGCAAAAGCTTCAATCACTGTTGCATTGTTCACTCCTTCAATATATTTAGAGCTGCACCCAGTACTTTACCCCAACTGTTTCGTATCATTATTCCAATAGGACCAACTCCATCATCAGCCTTTAGAGTTCCATCAAAATTAACCCTCACCAGCTTCTATGATGGTGGATGCCAGCGGACATGTCATATATAATGGTTTTGAGAACCATCAGACGAAGATTTAAAAAGGGTTTAAAATGAAGAATTATCATTAATTTTTTTTTATATGTGATTGATCATCTAAAAGGTTTATTTTTTTTAATAAAACAGTAAAATGAGTTTAAAGTTTATCAAAAAAATAATTTTGATTTACAAAAATAAGGTTAAGTTTGAAAATTGATTACGTGTGAAAAAAAATTAACACTCTTACAATGTTGATAAAAATTTTTACCAATTATTCATGTGTTACTTTTAGTTTTGGATAAAAATAGTTTCAATTTAAAATTTAATAGCAATTCCGTTCACTTTTTTTTTAACAAGAAAATCAATTTTATTAAACCTTTATTTAGGAATATTGCAAAAATTTTTAAATTAAAGAATTACTTTAAAATTCTCTAATGTCTAAGGCAGAAAGGTAATTCTTTTTGCCTAAGATTTACCACAACATTTCTTAAAAATAAAATAATATTAATTGTAAATGGTAATTGTTGGTGACTCTCCAACATTTAGGCAGAGTATCAAAAATTATTTCCTCATGAATGTTATTTTTTATTTTATTTTAAAATTTTATATTTTTAAATAACATTAAAAAAATTTCATGCAAAAAAAAATGATGATGCTACAATTCAAAAGACATCAACATACAAAATGAATGCAAGAACAATCTAAAAAAGAAGATATGTAAATGAGTGTAATGTATGATTATGAGAAGCGATTTGATATCGGATCCTTAAATATAAAAAGGTCTCCCGGACTCCTCAACTTCTAAGCAAAGTTTAGGTGTAACTATTTATACTTAAGCTTGTGTTTTTGTTTCTATTTTTTTGTTTAATCTCATTTTTTTTTTTTAGTTAAGAAATTGTACAAAAAACTTAATGAAATAAATTTTCCTAAAAACTTCATGCTTTAGACAGCATTTGAGAATAAATTATTTCATATGAGATTTTCATACGAGTCCTTAGAACTTTGGTGGCTTGGATTTCAAGTTTGGTTAAATTTAGGATTAAATGATAGTTTTAAGGTTTTAAGATTTCAAGATTTTAAGGTTTTAAGGTTTCAAGGTTTTGGGGTTTTAAGGTTACAAGGTTTTAGGGTTTTACATGGTTTTTACAAATCTATCAAAAATTCCCAACATCTAGGTAGGCTTTCAAAACAAGCTTGATTTTTCATAATTTTCTTAAAAATTGGATTTTTATTAATCTTTTGGAGTGACATTAAAAATATAAATATCAAATATAAATGCATGAATATAATTAAAGATGACATATAAATAATAATTTATAATGCTAATGCATGTAACAAGTTATTAAATAAGCAAAAAGCAAATATAAACAACGAGAGAGAAACTATTGTTATTATTATTATTATTATTATTATTATTATTATTATTATTATTATTATTATTATTATTATTATTTATTTTGTGAAGAGAAGTTTTCATTAATTCCTTAATATTTAAAAAGAATTTGAGAAAATTAATAATTCAAAATATGATTTGAATTTCCATCAAAATTTAGGTAGAGTTTTCCAAAATTAAAAAAAAAACCTTCTTATATATATATATTAGAATTTTTAAAACATTTTGCAACTAGTGAATAGTCAATAAATAACAAGTGATGTGCAGATTATAAATAATCCATACAAGACACATAATTAAAGAACGAATAAGGTAAATATAGTGAAACATTTACAGAACGCACTAAGTAATGAAACATATGCTGAAAATCCCTTATTACATTGGTTTTTCCTTTTATTTTATTTTATTTTTTATTTATATTAAACCCTATTTTTTCTCATTAATGTATTCAAAGATAATATATGCAGACCAACCCATTTCATGACATGTATCGAAACTTGCCCCCTTTTCAAAACTGACTTTTTTTATCCCAACCTTGTTACCTCTTTCATTCTATTTTAAGCTAAAACACATGAAAAAAGGGAAACACAGCAGTGTAACAGCCAAGCTACAGACCCTATCATTGCCTTTGCAAATTTATCAAGTTTCATAAACTCTTGGACTTTAGGCTTTCATGGATTTTTAGGTTATTATTCTATGTATATATATATACATATATATTAAGGAACTAACAGTTATGGTATTACCAAAAAATGTGCATGACAAAGAAGGACAAAGAATTGAATAAAATAGCACAAGCAAACAGAAACTAAAACAGAAAAGCCTCAACTTTCACATAAGTAGCCATCCCTTAAAGAAAAATAGTAAACGTTTAAAGCTTTAAGCTTTTCCTCACTACCATAACCAGCCTTTATGCAGCAAACTAGTGAATCATGTAAAGCTTTGGGCTTCCCCTTCCCACAAACAACCATTATGCAAAACTTAGTAAAAATGTGAAACTTTAAGCTTTTTTTCCTCATAAACAAATTTCATTCCACAAACCAATGAATGTGCAAAGCTTAAAAGTTCTACACACATACATGTCTAAGTTAAAATATGAAAGAAACAACATTTCAAGCATCAATGAATAGATTTTACAAAAAAAAAAATAAAAATTAGTAGTTGTAAAAATATAAATTTAATTATTATAGAAAAATCTCATGTAGGAAACAAAGCTAAAGAAACAAAAAACCAGTTTCAAACTTTTCTTCCCCATTCACAAGCCATTTTCTTTTTCTATTTTTAAAACTATTTTACTATCTATAAACTACAAATGGAAGACATGAGTGCATCTTTATGCCATGAACCCCATATAGAAAGTATGGTAGTTTTCTTATGCATGGAAACAACTCGTGAAAGAAAAAAAAAATTACCTTTTTTTGCTTTCTTTAAAAGCTATGGCATTTCACTTTTTTGCTAAAACTTTCCCCATATTCTTTTTTTCTAAACCCACTCATAGACCTCTTTTAGCTAAACTTCTTTTTTTTTTTTTTTTTTTTACTTTTTTAACTAGCTAAAGACTTTGATCAGCTAAAAATACCTTTTTTTTTTCTCTTTCTCTCAAATGTTTTTTTTCTCTAAAACCACTTCTGTTTTTGCTTATCTATATTT